GGACTGCGTGGGTTCCTGGTCCTGTCTGAGGTGTGTTCCTGTGAAAGCTGAGTTTTTTCTCCCCACTGTCACCAAGTGTTTACTCACAGTGGGAACTGTTGGGTTTGTCTTTGCTGTGTCCTGATCCGTGAGATGGTGTGATTTGGTACCAGACTGAACTAAAAGTGATGACTTTTTATCAGTTAGTCAGCCAGATTACTCAAAAACTGCTACAATCAAACACAAGAATACATCAGTTGGGAACATGACAGTAAAACTTCTTCAGCTTCTAGCACTGACTCACCTAATCCTTTTGTAGATATGCCCACATAGTCAGGATTAAATTCAGCAGTGAAAACTCTAATATTACATACTTTGAATAAAATATTTCTTGACAATCTGCACCTGAATAATTCACATTTCTGACAGAAATTTGGCAATTTGCTGCTGAATACCAGCCTACTTTCTGAATATTATTAAAGCTTCAGATTAATCAAAAATACATGAGCTGTACCATAAAGAGCTGCAGTCTGATGATGAGCTTTTCCAACACTTAGTGTCAGAATATTGCAGAGATCACCTGTCCTTGATATTGACACGGCACTGATGATGAAAGTGCTATCAGGCGCTTCCGTTGTAATGCAATTATAAGAGCAAATGCTGCTGATATTTAGCTTGTGGGTGTCAGTTTCCCATTGATCTATGAAGATGTCACTGAGTCACAGCCCTTCAGCTGACAAGCGTACAATCTAATAAGAAGAGCACTTGAGCAGCAGCCTGGATGAGGTCATATTTACTTGTGTTCAATAACACCATCACTGCTTATAAACTGCAGTCGAGCACATGGGGCGAGAAGAGTTAATGGTGCTGCAGAATAAGATGAATTTTACACCAGATCATCCAGTTCAAGCATAAACCTGAGTACAGTTTCGCACACATGCACACACACTCTCTCTCTCACACACACAGAGCTTGATGATTCTTGACCACTAATTACATCAGCAGTGAGTGTCTGAGTGCATGTCTCTAAATGTTAATTTGATCTAGCACCAGCATAGGCAGTAATAGCTTTCATGCTGCTGATTAGTAAATAGGAGGATATCTGAGTGACTGCACTTTCTCACAGTCAATCAGGAAACACCCTAATAACAGACATTAGCTGTCTTTATGGTGCTCGTGGTCAGGTCAGTGTTTGCCTACTGAGCTTCTTCTAAACATATTAGCTCTAATGATTCAGACTCTGTCACTAAAAAGTATAATATCTTTGGTAGTTTCTTACAAGTTTCTAAGGCTACGTCCACACGTACCCGGGTATTTTTGAAAACGCAGATTTTTCTATGCGTTTGCACCTTTCGTCCACACGTAAACGGCGTTCACTGAAAACTGAGATTTCTAAAAACGCCTGCCAGGGTGGATATTTTTGAAAACTCCGTTTTTGCCTGTGTGGACGAGGTAAACGGAGAAAACGCAGCATCAAAGGTGTGCGCCACGTTATTGTTTCGGTGAAATGAATTTCTACAATACTGTTACTGTTAATTCTACTCTCTGCAGTGTTTAAATGCTTACATACACACACAGTTACTGTCCCTCCACACATACGACTCGGTTCTGCTTCTATGCCCCAGCTTTGTTTACTATTTCCCGCCGAGGCTTCTAGACTTCTGATTGGTCAACATTTCTACACGGTTAGGAATACAGCGCCACCTATTGCTTTGGCATGTTCATAGCAGCGTTTTCCTTCATTTCTGCCTTTACGTGTGGACGGGATTATTTTTTAAAACGAAAACGGAAAATCTCCGTTTTCAAAAATACCCGTGTACGTGTGGACGTAGCCAAATACACATGTGCCGGTTCCATATGAGCAAGACAAGCAGTAACCACAACATTCAAGAGTTAGAAAACCTGCAGATCCTGAGGTGGCCATCTGGCACTGGCTCCAAAAGCAACTCAATTTCAATATACTTCAAAGTTAAAAAGGTCAACTACAGCCTGGTATAGAAAAATGGCTTTGGCCTCTATGGATAGTTTCCCCTTTCACAGCTGTACAGTGGGTGAAGTCATGTTATAACTCGTTCATTTAGATACTGCCTAGGCTTACATTTAGGGAGCTGCTTGGGTTAGCAGGTACGCTAACATAGGCAGCAGACATAGCTGTCTCCCGTGTCTCCCGCTGTGTGGTAGAGGCCATCCAGTTTTATTTGTCTGCTACTTCGCACTGATTACCAATCATGTGTGTCTATTGCACCCATACACTTAGCAGCTTGCTAACCAAGTTTGCAAGCATTAGGTGATAATGTAGTGATCAACTCTCTCAGGATTAGGGCCACCGAAAAAAAATAAATAAAGTAGGCACGTCTTTTCTTTTTCTTTTCCAGAATTCTGAGAAAACAGAATTTATTTAAAGCGACAACTGTTCAACAACTATAAACTGTTTATAAGGTGAATACAATTAAGTAAGTTCACACATTGTTTTTAAAATGTCTCTTTACCAAATCTTTCCCCCCTTTTCAGATTATGAAATTATTAGGGGTGCAACGATACACAAAATTCACGGTTCGGTTCGGTATACTTTGGTGTCACGGTTCGATATTTTTTCGATACAAAAAAATGTTCATGCATTTTTAATTTGTCATTTATTAAAATTATAAATATATATTTTAACTCAAAAGTACAGTTTTTAAATTTAACCCTAACCCTTGTGCGTGTTTTTTATTTTGACAGCGAATGCGCACCTGCGGACCACTTATGTGCAGCCCTGGTTATTTAGCTCGTCATATTGCAGCCACAGAAATTCTTTTGTCCATGAAACCATAAAGCTGCACTTTCTTTTTGCCTTATAGTCTGATTTGTCATAACTTCTCCGTTTTGTGGTAAGCTTTTCTTTGGCTGTCACTTCTTCACCCTGACCTGTCTTATTTGGCTCAGCAGAACTGAAATGCTTTTACACACACTCACATAAGCTCAGCGATTCTCTGCGCGATCAACCTCTCACATGTTTAAGCTGCGGGAGATTTCACTTGTCATGTTTGCATAGTAAGCTAACGATTAATAAGACGATGTCAGAGGAATTGGTGCACAAATTATCATCACTCACAGATCAGTGCTGTCGCTCTCTATACACAGTTCGCGCGATTGCAAAGTGAAAGCAAAAAAACAAGCGCAAATTCAAACGCGATTTCAATATGTCACATATTGACAGTGGCTCACCGATGCCAATGACATAATTACCCAGCTACATTTCTGAAAGAATGCAAAAGCATTGACATATATTTTTCCTACAATAGCCCGACGGGCAGGGCAGAGATAGATTTTGGTAGCCCGACTGAAAAAATCGCTAGCTCCGGGACGTCGGGCTAGCGATATTGCAAGCCCTGTATCTGATTGAGGAATCACTCATCTTTGGAAAAGAGAGTTTATTACAGAGAAATGTCTCTTTCCAAAATAAAAGCTATACTATCCGCTTCTTCTGGGCTATATTCTCAGCAGCATAAGGAGAATCATGTGCTAACAGCTGTCTAAATGACTCGGCTAAAGTTTGTAGCATGCGTGCTTGTTGTTTTTGTCTGCTTCCACTTGTCTTTGCACTAGGATGATGTCGGCGTAAATGTGCAGTCATATTCGTTGTGTTCCCACTAGTGCTGTCAGCGTTAATCTCGTTGAAATGACCTTAACGCCACAACACGGCAAATCTCCGTTAACGAGCTACCGCCGATCGCCCGTGCATGGGGCTAGACGGCCAACACGTTAACGAGCTAACTGCGCTAACACACTAGTTCCCACCCATGTAATTGAGCATTGCATGGCACATCAACATACTGTTTCATTAGAACAGACGACTCAGGAGTTGTGCCACAAAGGAACTGAAATCAAAAGGATTTAAGAAACACCTCACTCTGCTCTCTTGGAATAATCCCACACTAAACATGTAGCTGCTGTCAGCAGGAGAAACACATATTACTTATGTAAATCCTTAGTGTCAAAAAAGGTACGAGCTGTTACATAACAAATGTAGCCTGAACTATCACCTCACTGCATGATGGAACCTCCCAACATCCCACCAACACATGGCCTCATTCACTCCATCATCGCTCACTCTAGCTGCTTGTTTGTGTTAGCACTGCCCTCCTACAAACAGGAACCTGTGAGTCTGTACAGACGCTTCCACAGGAGTAATACGCTGATCGGCAGCTTCACCATTACAGTTTCACAATATGTCAGCTTCAGTCACAATCATGAGTAAACCAGGTTGGATATTGAACTACTTAATTGTGGATTTGGTTAAAGGTTGCTATTTAACTGTCAGCTTTGGATAAGGTTTCATCTGATATGTGCACTAAGTGACGGTGACAAATTATGTCAATGTCGTCTGTATATTAAAGTGTTTCACATAAAAATATAAACACAGTTCTACAATCTGACAGCACATTGAAATGTTTCTATGAAACTCTGAAGAAAAATAGGAAAGGGCATTACAAAACACAAGTTTTGACTTAACTATCAAAAACACATTTTAGTTTCTGTCAGTGATTGGAGGGATAATCTTAACGCCGGTGCAGATTTCCTTGTCCCACTCACCTGACGCTCAGCTGGATTTAATTAGCGGCTTCTTCAGCTGAATCTGGTAAGCTGACAGGTGTCACCTGTGGCCTGCTGACTGTGCTGGCAAACTGGTAGCCTGTAAGCTGTCTACTAAAGGGGCAAAGGCTCCACATTTCCTACCATCTGAAATCTAAAAATTCTTCAATGATGAGGAAAAGGAAAAAACAACAACATACTTTTTCTTTTCCTAACTGATTCGCGTCACAGTCCCACAGATTTTTCTTCCCATCAACCAAGATGTTCCAACCCCAGTCAGTAGTAACCACCACACTAGACTCTTTGTTTCAAAGTTAAACAGCTGCCTGTTTCCAGTTATCTGCTCACGGTGGATCAGAATATCATTTCTTTATATGTAAGGAACACACTGCTGGCTTTAAGAAACAACAAGGTCATTGTGAGCAGCATAATCCTTCATACTGTACCTTGACGTTGTCTGGATGCAGTCCTCCAGGGTGTTTGTCCATATACTGACACAGGTCTGTGTGCTGGGTGAGGACAAAGGCAAGAACATCCCAGTGTTAGTGTGAAGGTTTTAAAGGTAAGTAAGCAAGCAAGCAATTTATTTATATAGCACGTAAGATTCCTTAAAGATCATCTAAAGTGGTTACCACCAAGTACACCTTAGCATATGCAAATGCTTTGGAGCAAAATCAGCTCTAGAAATTGGGACCAACTAGATGTTACTGTGATTTTATTGTACAAAGCAGTATAAAGGAATGTTAAATGCTAGAAGTTAGGTGGTCTAACACAATATATGGGCATCTTGGATATCACGTAATCATCATATTTTTTCCTTACAGTCATTTTTTGGGTTATTTGATAGAAAAAAGGAAACTGAACTCTTAAATATATATTGATTGATATTGATTGTAACTCCAAAAAATTGATGCACTGTCAAAATATTTTGGAGTAATCCATTAAAAATACATGGGAGCAGGCGCCGTTTCATGGGCGCCACCATGTTGACCCACCATCTTGAATACAGTCATTGAGAAAGACATCATCGTTTTATGTATGTACATTTTACACTGTGATTGATTGAATTGATCGAAGCCTTTACTTGTCACTTGCAGTTGACCTGCAGCGAAATTGGACATAGGGAGGGGCAGCCATGCATGTGGCTAGAGACCAGCCACTGTCACTGAATGCCATATTATACTCGTTTACAGCTCAACCGTTTTATTTTCAGAGTCAAAATTTCAGAGGCACAACTGTGAATATCTACAGAAATCTTTCAAACATGCTGGAGGCTCTGTTATGGTTTGGGTGCATTTTAACCAGTGGGGCTACTGGTTGAAATGTCAAAATTCTTGTCAAAATGGATGGAATTTTGAACGCAATAAAGTGCTGTCAAATTAATCCAACATCCAGTAATATCAATAAATATTATGATTGTCAAATGCTTCATTTTTCAGCATGGCAATAATCCCAAACACACAGCAGGGAAGTAATAACAGGCCTGGATAGAAAAACCTACCGTGGAACACTATGAGTCATGGACTGGAATCACATCCAAATTAATAAAGTAGAAGAACATCCACAGAAGAACTTCAAGAAGCCTGGAAAACTATTCCTGAAGACCACTTAAAAAAATTACAGGAGAGCTTGTCTAAGAGAGTCCAGGAATGTTGACGTATGAAGGTCATCACATTACATAGAATTGTAATGAGCTATATTTCCATGTACATGTCTTTGTCCTGTCTCGCTCCCCTTACCCCGACTAGTCACGGCACATGGCCGCCCCTCCCTAAACCCGGTTCTGCTGGAGGTTTCTTCCTGTTAAAAGGCAGCTTTTCCTTCCCACTTTTGCCAAAGTGCTTGCTCATAGGTGGTTGTCTAATTGTTGGGGTTGTTCAATATTGTCTTCAGGTTCCTGTTGTTGCAATTTAACGCTTTGTAAATGAAGTAAAATTGAAACTGAATGAATATATGTTTGCATGTTTGACTAGAAAAATATGAAGAAACAATGGGTGGCTCTAAAACAGGACTCTATGTTTGGGTCTAAGTTATGTACATTTTTGCTATCTGGCATTTTTTTGTGTGCCTGTAAATTCTGATTGGTCCAATCAAGTTCAAAGCAGATGCTGTTCTTGGTCCACACACTACTTTAGCGTACGTCCCCAGGAAGAAGAAATGTGGCTTATTTTATGCCAGAGTTTATCGTATGAGCTGAATTGATATTCTTATCAGAAAATCAGACATGCACCCAGCCTTGGTCTGCCCTTCACCTCTGTGCTTTCAGAACAGATTTGTGGATGGAGGCAGTGACTATGAAACCACACTAATATTTACAGTCCCCTACTGCTGGCCACACCACAGAACCTCCTCTGCTGAATAATTCACAAAGACGCCTCAGCACACACACACAGCATATTTGTCATTGCTTTTCATGTCAGTTGTCTGTCCTCTCTCTCTGTGCATTTCCCCTGCATCCTGTCATTCACCATTAGCTTTGAGGGGAGAACAACGAATGGATTTTTGGGGAAGCTCAAGCTATTAGAGCACTGAACACAAGATGATATATCAACATCAACACAATTTAGCATCCCAGTCAAATAAATAACCACTGGCTGCAGAGAAACCAGGGTAATCCCTTGCTGTTAAAGGACTGTGTGGCATCATGATTGAAAGATGTCCTGTATTAGTGAAAAGTGTGCATAACCACTTAGGATGAGACGTCCCTGTTTCACCTTTAAAGGCAAACTGAACTTTTTTCTCATTCTTCATTTAAACACAACCCGCTGGGCTCCATCCTCGATTCAGAAGCCAAACCCTTTGACATGTGTCAAATCTACCAACAGGGGGCATTCCACCATCCCCAGTCTAATAAATGTAGTAGAGAAGGAAAGCTGAGTAAGCTGGTTGAGCGATCTGGCCTCACTCAGCATGAATATAAATGAGCCCATCAGAAGCTGCTGTCAGTTGGTGCACAGTAAAGGGTAAGACAAGATGAGACTGTTCTGAACAACCTGGGTTCAGATCTGTCCAAAACTGTGTTGAAAACTTTTTATCCTTGTAGTACACTCCTACTCTATTCCCTCTGTAGACACTGGAGTCTTTCCTTATTAATTAGAAAAACGTCCTAATCAAGTTATTTTGGCCCTTGCTGCACAACATTTGAATACTATTCTTTGAACTTGTTTGGACAGGCAGCAGAAGTCCAGTCGGTTCAGTTGGATGAAACAATACTGTCAGTGGAATAATCCTGTAACTGTGACAGATGTGGTCACCAATCCTTACAAGTATGTAGCTAGTTTCAGTTTAACATACTTATAAGGAGGTTGTCATGTCTGCTTCTTTTACTTCTCCTGGCAGTGTGGTTGCTTCCCAACTAAACACTAAACGGTTGGTGTAGGTGATGTAATTGAGGTCAGCCGGAATTCTGGCAGACAAGCTTTTCTCAAAACAATCTTGCATCAGCTGATGGCTGACACGCGTTTGGACGTTTGCCTCTATTACCCTATTTTTCGGACCATAAGGTGCGCCTTATGATCCGAAAAATAGGGTAATCTCCTGGTGCAGTAAAGTTAGATGCACACATTTGTTCTGCCCTGTCTACACTGTTACTCAGTGTAGACAGGGCAAAACAGGTTTGTCCCACCAGTATCTGATGTTGGCTCGACAAGACATCACTCTGTCACGATTTGTCTTTCACTCTCCAAACAAACAAAAATATCTTAAGTAGATCGCCCTCACGACCCTGGAAATGCTCCAGCTCAGATATTATTTCACCTGCCCATTTAAAGATAAAGACCACAAACGACTGTCACACCAGCAAATATTTGCCTTGGCATGTGCTATCATTAATAGATACTTAATGCTGTTGCTTTTTTTGTGGGTAAGTCAGTTTGTTTCGGCTAATCTAATGATCATCATTTGGTAAACTGTGCTGTTCCAGAGGTTTCTGGTGAGTAACCTTCCTTTACTTGGCTTTAACAGTGTTGCCGAGTCAGAGCATTTCCACTGGCCATAAATGCATCAACAGAATATTATTTCTGTTATTTGTGCCCGCAGTATTTGACGGGACAGTTGTGGAAACATGCTAAAACCATGACCTTCCAATAAAATGCCCGCTTGGCTTCCTGTTGCAGGCACAGACAGACCAGGCTGTGGTGGACCTGGCTGCCATCCTATGGAGCAAAGAACGGAAAAAGCCCTAGCTGCTTTAACATTCCTCAAGTGCCCTAAAACTAAGAGTATGCCAATCAAAATATCTACAGCTCATGTTTCTAGCGGGAGAGTATTAAAAACTGAAACTCAATCAGCAAGGATGTACTGGGATCAAATCAATCAAACTAAAGAAACACATAAGTGCTGACCTCTGTTCTTTGAAAATGTTTTCTTTTGAATGCTAAAAACAGATTCTTGATCTAATTTTAAACCTCCACAGCCCCCCCGTAAAGAGCCCAAATGGGTGATCTCAGTGTGCAGACTCACCACATATTCAAAAACCAGAGTTAGGGTTTCCTTGGTGTGGATGATGTCATGAAGGAGGACGATGTTAGCATGCTTCAGGCCTTTCAGAAGAGATGCTGCAGAAACAAAACCGAACAGAAAGAGGCAGAGAGTTGATACCAGGGAACTGTGTTATGCTTTCATTAGCTGCATTATTAGAATTCCTCATCACATACAGGGGATCAGGAAAAGATTAAAACACAAAGAGAAAACACGGGGTGGATTTACTACTCAAAGTTCTCACACTCATTTGTCAACATGTTCATGACGTAAGACTTATTGTTAATTAGGAGGGAGATATGCTGGGAAGATGATCAAATCGTTACAGCGGCGAAGCTTAAAGAGTCTTACTTGGGAGGCTGGGTATGATGAGCACATTTACATTACTTGATTGAAGTCACAGCTTGAATAGAGCACGGTGAGCATTGTGCAAATAATATACGACACATTTTCAGTTTTTTGTGGGGACATTTTATAGCTTTGACATCACAGTCAAGTTAATTTAGTAACAAAAAGAACAAGTTTACTTTTTTAACATTTAATACGAGATATTCTGATTTCAGATTGAACTACCTTACAAAAAATCTCAGACACAGCAAACGACTTCTACGAGCTTCTAATTTACTTTTTTCCACCAATGCTGGTTTTCAATCTAAAAGCAGTTCCATTAGAGCTTTTGCATAAAAGCTGGCATTAGATTATCACCACAAAACTGCTTGGCCTGTAGCCACTGGAAGCACTAAGTAATGAAAGGGGCTAATACAAGAAATTCAACCCAACTGGAACAAGTGACAAATTTTCTCCGCATGCAAATTACCCCAACTTTTGTCAGTATAAGACAAGTTCTAAAAGAAAAAAAAATGCTAACTACACATTAAAGAGATAATATTCTACCTTAAATCAGTGCGCTATATCACTCTAGGAATGTTAGCTTCTAAGCTAGCCAGAGCTAGCTAAAACTAATGCTACGTTTAAGCTGTTCTTAATTTTTTTTTTATTTTACTTATCACCTTGAAATGCACAACAAATTCTGAGGAGCTCACATTTTGGTCATTTAGTATTCCCTTCCATATAAATAAGGGGGAAAGCTCATGTTGTCAGTTTATGTTAAATTGGAAAAATAACAGCGTGCTTCCTGCTAAAGCTAGCTAGGTAGGTCAGCAGAGTTGATGACTGTATGCTGTCCTTTATATACTCTTTAAGTTAAAATATCATTGTATTTTAGTTGAATTTAAAGTATTTCATTTTTATTATATAGCATAAATGGAATTTTCAGACATTTAACAAACTGATTCATTTAGCAGACAAAAAGTTCTGTTCCAAGGACACAGGGGACAGACAGAACCTCTGAGAGGCAGTAAGTGATAAGGTCTCATCAATATATTCATTCTGTATGAGTACCTGAAGGTAAAAAACACAAAATCACATAAGCAGATCAAAGGCAAGGCTCCTCTCAGCAGGAAGTTAAAGCTATAGTCTGATACCTCAAAGATCCTGTCACCAGTTTGAAGATCCAACCCCCTCTCTCCCTGCTCACACACACACATCGGTGGTAATGGCTCGAGTGTGTCAACTTTTGCACGAACACACACTCACAGCTGTCTTATACTCTGTGTGCATTACTTTATTCAGCAGCAGTCTGTAATGCCGCTCACATATCTGTGCTCTAAGCTCACTGCTCAGTAATTGCTGAATTAGTTCAATTTCAAATTACCTTTCTGATCTTCTCATAGGGAGAGTTTTAACTGTGTCTGTGAGGAGTCTAGCTCTTACTTTATCAGACCTGGATCATAAGCAGATCAAACAGACAGCATCACGTTCTCATCTAAATTTAAATACCAGTTCCTCCCGTGGAGGTGACGGTATCTTCTTTCAGTGGAGTCTGTAAAACGAAGTGACAGGACAAACCAAGCCAAGCAAGGACGAGCTCTGAACTTCTATACATACAGGACAAAGTTTATCATTTTAAACCCTACAAGCTGTAAGTTAAGCACTTTATATTGTAACAAGACAATTCACATGATATACCTGTTAGCTAATAGCGAACTTTGAGTTTTTCTAATGTCTTGGTTCAGCTAAGAACCGACATCCCATCTCCAGTCCTGTTCAAGCAGAGCTCACTCCTCCAAGCACCAGAGATCCACCAAACACATGATCCTTACACTGAAATACGTTTTAGGAGTGAATGCTGAAAAGGACAAATTAGCCTTGATCCACTGAACAGATTTCTTCTTATTAGAGGACTAAGAGATGTCCAAATGGTAGTAGCATTTTTTTTGTTCCCACCAGACTGGATCAGTAACCAAATCAGCTGTCTGCATGTCTTTGTTCACCACGCCCATGAATCTCCTCTGTAGTCTCCATCTTTGGTTCTTTTTTGGTAGGTCCATCTTTAACCTCCATTGCCCAGCATATCCACTCTCTCTCCTCTGTAAATGTCCAAACCATCTTAGCCTTCGCCTGTCTTGTGCACTGTCCATTGCTTCAGATGGGTGACCACACACCGGTATCGCTCTCTCATTCAAATGTTTTGCTTCTACTGACTTTTATTCTTCTTCTCTCCAGACAATGCCGCCACTTCTCCAGGCCCTCTTCCATATGCTCCCTGTCCATTGCTTTGGATGACTGTCCCCAGGTATTTAAACTCATCTGCTTTCTTTAGTTCCACACAGACAGTTTAAAGGGTTTCGGATCAGGTAGGGAAAGTTAACACTGACTGGAGTTTTAAACTCCTTATTTCATGATATTTACAGTTTATGACTGTTGAGGTATATGAGGACATGGCCTTGCCCTTACCACTTGCAGTTCTGGGCTGAACTGAGATATTGAGCTGTTTTCGTAGTGATATTAAAGTAGCTTATGTAAGACAGAAAGTGAAACTATTAATATAGAAAGAAAAATATGGTATCTGTGCCTCTATGCACGTAAACGTCTTACCTTCCCTTATGGCTGTGAAGGGTGTTCCTTCTTCTTCTTGTAGTCGAATCACCTTCAAAGCCACTAGTTTTCCATTCACCCTGGCAGCAACATGAAGCACACACAATGTATACTAAACTGATCGAGTTTCTTTTTTTGCGACAATAAAGGAAAACTCTTGAAATGAGTGAAGCCAGAGAACAGCGAGGATATTTAAGCCAGAGAAATGTAATTTGGTGGCAGTGGAGTGAGACGCGGGTACAAGGCGAAGGGATTACAACTGAATGAAGCTCACCAATCAAAGCTGTTGTAGTTTAAGAGTGACGCCAAATAACATCATTACTGAGAAGATTAGAGTCTTTGGAGTTTTGTACATTTTCAAGAATTTAATTAGCAAAACTTGCAAGCAAAGCGGCAAACCATGAAATGTGAACGAAGACTATTGAATCATGGCATAAATACATTCATCCTATAGTGATTAAAATAAAGGAAATTACATTGCATTTGTGAGGTGCACAGCTTTGCAGACAAGAAATATTATTTACATAAAACCTATTGAATTATTTCATTCCCACACAGCAATGCTCTCGTATAATTAAATGTAATATTCGCTGCATCCATGAGTGATTTCTAGCAACTATAAAGAAGAGTAACTGGATTAGACAGTGATTCCACACTACTTACTTGCTCTTTCCTTTGTAAACTGTAGCATATGAACCCTCTCCCAGTTTCTCCAGCTTTTCATAGGAATCTGCCTTTCCAAATTTGGGGCTGGTGGGCTGCGGGAAGAAAAAGAAAGAGATATGAAAAGGCAAAATGAGAGGGTGAGTTCAGTAACCCAGAAAAGCGGCGCCTCGTAGGATTTCACAGAACACATTTACAAGTGTCTGAGAGATATTAAAATCTGGAGGCTCCCTGCTGTATCATCGAGTAGGTGTAATGTCGGTTGGGAGGAGGAGAGAGAATTTTTTTATCAAGTCTCTTCTTGTAAGAGCTCCTTTTCATTTAATTGTCAGCTGATAACTTTTAGACACTTTTCACCATCTCAGCACTTCACAGAGAAAGAAATAACTGTGGCTCGAAGAGAAGAAGGCACAGAAGTGAGCATATTCATAGCTAACTGCTAGGAAAGGGGAAACAAGTCAGCTCTGAAACTTCAACTCACTGGATGCTGTCCTAACATCTGTTGTTGTCAGTGATGAGGAAAAGTGCTTTGATAACTAAATGTAACTCTGACGAAAGCATACGTGCCAATCAAGTATGTGGATCACCTCCTCCTCGCTCAGTCACCCAAGAGGAGGAGTAGGATGGCGACCTCCTTGTGACTAAGAAAAATCCAATTATTTTCACATTTTCACAAATAGTTGTGGTAAGGTTAGGCATGCCAGACCCTCAACCTCTTGGTAACCACTTTCGATTGCAAGGCGATTGCGTCTAAGACAGGCTGGTGAGGATTTGTGAATAACTGTCTGATTTCTAAATGCAGACAGACTGCCACCGCATTGCATACAGTCTTAGTCAGCTCGCACCAGTGAGCACAACTATCTCTGCAATAGGCAGCATGATTCACCTGGTTGCCAGCTGCTTGTACTCTGATAACATACCTATATTAAAAGAAAGGTTGCCAAATGTCATTTTACAACCACAACAACTATTTTGTAGATCTGTGAAGAAATTTCTCATTTTCTGTTTCAAATCTATGAGCTTTGCTGAGTTATCACAGTCGTTGCATCGCATTGCAATTGCCAACTTGTCCCCATTGCCACTTTATCAACATTTTAACACACAAAGCAACTGACCGCGAGTTGACACAAACATGTTTCCGGTCTTCGAAGCAACCGTTTCAGTGAGACCACAAGTTCATTGCACGCGGTCGAAATAATGTTGACTGTCCAGCCTCTGTTTTTTCAAACAGTTGGAGACCTTTCACATTCTTTGTCTATGGTCTGAACAAAACTGCAGAAATCAAAACTATAGGTTTCAGGTCAAACCTGAAACAGCAGTTAGCGATAACAGGTATCAAGAGACTGGTTATTAACTTGCTTTGTTCATCGAGGCTTTTTGCCTCAAGCCGTGGGGCACTGTCATATGGTTGTATCCGGCATTATGTAATTTTTTTCTGCCAATTAAAACTTGGGGATCCGGGCACTGACTAACAGTGTGCCGATGTAGCTGAGGTTACATCTGTCAGATGAATCCCAAGCCATGAGTGCCTGGAAGATGATTTAGCACTGGAGGCTATTCAGGTACCATTCTTTAAGGTCCTGAAGCACAAACATACTTAATGTTCTAGTCTTCAAATCCCTTTAAGCGTTGCTTTAAGAAAATGTTCTTTCAGAAGAAAACTGTTCTTTTTTCTATAATTTTAACACATGAACACAACAGGGACTGAAAACCTGCTTAGAGTCAGTAAAGCATCAGAAGCTTTTATGGCCCTGAAAGCACAATGCAACCATCTTCCCTTGTAATGCATCTTTAACCAAATCCCATGCTTTCAGGAAATCCCTAAATGATGGTGCAGTGTTTGCTACATCTGCACTGTCTTCATTGCTTTCCAGCCACCCTCCTGTTAGCTCACTATCCTTGCAGCAGTAATAAGCTCAGCATTTCTGAGGGCTTCTCTAAACAAATCAGACTTCCCCCTGGGATCAAGGAAGAAGTGAAGCTCTATCTGTGAAACAATTGAGTTGGACAGTAAGGTGGCCTGAAGAACCTCTCCCAGCAAGGCTCAAGACTACAGAACTAGTCTTTTTTTCTACTAGTGTTCTGCATGAACCACTTTCACTTTACATTTGCCTTACTGCATCTTCTTTTAGGAATAACTGGTGGGGGGAGTTCATTGGTACCAAAATATTACCCAGTTGTCAGAGCTGGATCATCACTTGGCCAAAGCATGCAACCGCGTTAACGTCCCTAAAGCTGAGGGTTTACTAGATATCAGCTGGGTCTGCATAAGTGGATTAATCACAAATCCAGAAGTAAGAAAATTTCACCTTTAAATCCGTTATTAATCTGGTGTCAGTCTGCTTATCATATGAATCTTTTAATTCATCTGTATCTTTACTTCATTGGTTTTCTGCTCTAACAATGTCAACTTTTATGACAAGAAGGGGAAAGCACAACATTATGAGGCCATTAGACAATTGCTCTGAGTCAGGGTAGTCTACAGATTTTGATCTGAAATGGTTAAAGACACATATAATCTTTAATAGTGTGTTCCCGTTTTACAACACAGTCACTTTTGTAAGCAGTTATTCTGACATTAAGTTAACATGAACTGTATTTTACCATGTGCTGTAACTGTGGTATAACGAAATTCCATTAGCCTAATCTGAGGTCGACTGTTAAAGCCCGTTAATGACTGATTCTGATGGGGGATAGTGGTTTATAGAACAAATCCAAATTTCTAGAAATTTTAAATGCCATGTCCTACAGAACATATAGTATGCCATCCCAGAGCCTGTGCAGATTTATTTAAATTATAGGACAAAAGCCAAAGAAACAAAAGACACAGGTCCAGAATTTAGAAGTGGGATTCTGAAGGCTGATGGTCCAGAGATTAGCCACTATCCATCTTTTTTTAATTAAGGACTTGAAATGTTTGAGATCAAGTGGGTTTGTTTGCCTGAGCCAAATGACCACGGACGGCACAAATAACACAATTTCATAATCAGGGCTGAAACAATTCATTAGCTTCTCACAGCGATGTTGGCAGGCAATCAGTCAAGCCTCGTATTACACTCATTAAATCTTATCTGTGTGCACATTCATTAAACCTTTCGCATTCTGTGCCGTTTTTCTTCTATGGTTCTGAAAAGAACCACATATGTATAAAAACCTAAAATCTCATTTGCATGATTAAGAAAATTGTGTTATTTGTATGCAGTCTTCAATTAGGCATGTGAACAGATACAGGCTGGCAAATTTCTTTGACGAAGGAATAAAGAAGAAAAGCCAGCAGCGTCGCAGAGCAACAGAAATGCTGACGGAAAGTGGTTCTTTGACAGCATCTCAAAGGCTGTAATGTTTTAGAGATGCATAATGCACTCAAACTCATTTGTCATTCAACAAATAGCTTCTTTGTAGCATTTCTGTGGCATTTCTGTTTGTTTTGTATGTCTTTGCAGTCATTTTGAGTTATTTTGTACACCCGCAGCAGATGGGCCCCTCCCTGAGCCTGGTTCTGTCAGAGGTTTCTTCCTGTTAAAAGGGAGTTTTTCCTTCCCACTGTCGCCAAAGTGCTTGCTCATAGGGGGTCATATGATTGTTGGGTTTTTTCTCTGTATGTATTATTATAGGGTCTACCTTACAATATAAAGCATCTTGAGGCGACTGTTGTTGTGATTTGGTGCTGTATAAATTAGAGATGGACATAAAAAAGTGGTATCGTGCCATCTCTAATATAAATACAATTGAATTGAATTGAACTAATTTCCATTGACACTAGAAGAGACATACCATACTGTTAGCTCGAAGTTGTCTAAATCCTAAAATCTTTTATTACAATTGCATGATAACAGCAACCAAAACTAAATATTAACTCATAGAATCCTGAATAGAAATCTATTTTACATGTAAGAATGGTAAAGATAAAGGCGGTTGACCCACCCATGATCACCAAAAAAAACGATCAATCAACAGCCGAACCAATAAACTTAAGAGCCAGTCGTGTTGTTGCCTCATGAGATTCACAACAATTTCCAGTGTTGTGAATGTTGGGGATGCATATCTCCCTGTTATCATTGTAAAGCTGTAGGCTAGAGTACTCATCGCTTTTCTTGGCATTAATTAGCATTAACATCAATTAGCATTTGTACCCTGATAGGACAAGAGATTGTTCCATATTGAGGAGTTAAGATCTCATTTGGGCACTTAACTTTGTAACCATTCCATTTATCATATTTACTCAGTATAAAGATCTGTTCCTAGAAGGAATTGTTGTTCCTAAAACTGTGCCAATCATAAGTCGTAGATCATGTTACAGAAAGAGACTAGCAGTGATGTGGCGACAATATCAGGGGAAGTGCATCAGCTCATAAGAATGAAAAACACGGCAACAGTTAGTGTTGCAAAGAGGATAGGTCCCAAAATTAGAGGACTACCTTAACAACCACAGCCTGGAATGTCTACTGGCTCCCATCGTTCCACTACAAAACATTTCGGCAGGAGCCCTTGATGCTTTGAACAGTGAAGTATGTTACAGCATGTTAGAGCAGTAACATGCTACTCCCTCTGACTGCATCTGATTCCCTAACAGCAACATGCTTCACAGCTGCACTTACTGACTTGCTGTCCCATTAGTACACCTGCTACATTTGAAGAATGTTAGGATAGGCAAAGAACAGATAGACACATAGAGAGATCTGTCAGCTATAAACAGATTGTTTTGTTTCTCTTTAGTTTGCAGTCATGCTCTTATCTTTATACAGCTTTTTATTAACTTTCCTGTTAAAAGTCCAACTATGACTCAACTATGCCACTTCACTCTGTAAGCATGTCAACATCCTCTTAGACTCACTTTCTGTTATTTAGATGACGATAAGGCAAGACATATTTACTTGTATGTGAAGGTTGGCCCTACCTCAGTTGCTTCAGTCTGAGTTGATCAGACTGAAGCAACACCACCACATACAACCTGTTGTATGTGGTGGTGTATGGGCAGAGCCTGACAAACAGGAATCTCTTCTTCACTAAATTTTCTTTTGAGGTGTGGATGGTGACCAATCTTTTAATAAGAGACGAGCACAACGTGGTTTCAAATATAAAGTGATTAATTATGAGCAAAAGAAAACAATCTACAAGCTACTAACTGTGTTTCCATGACAACACTGGCACAATTGTTGACTGACTGTTAACCCACTATTTATCAAACAGACACTTTATCATCAACACCTCTGACGATGGTGGCTTTGAAATGTGAAGGCTTGCTTAATCAGGCTTTTCTCCGAAAGGAGATCAGACCACTGTCACCGCGCTGACAAGTTTGATTTCACTGGAGTTGAACCATTCTATAAGAGAGCCTTTGCTCACGGATTATTCTGTTATTAACAACCTGCTCTTTCAGTGCATGCATAATTAATAAGAGCACAAATTGTAGCTTTTCTCACTACACTGTTCTGACAGCAGGTGTCACTGATTATCAGAAGGTGTCATAGGACAATAACAATCATATTGTGTAACTTCACAACGCAAGATAATGAAGTTTTAGCCATTAGGATGAGTCTAGCAGGCTGTGATCAGATAAAAAAGGGTAACTACCCACTGTAATGATCAATTTACAGTATCTTCTTCTATTTTAAAGTCAATTGACATTGCTGCACCTGCATCCACACTAGTCTTTCACCATATTTGTATTTGGCTGGTTAGAGCCTGCACTACAACTAGGTATGCATATGACCAGTCAGCTGCAGTAGATGTTTAAACACTCATCGTAAGTTGTTAACAGAAATGCTTGTCAGTCAACTAAGTATTTTTGTTTATTAATGAACAGCGCCACTTAACTGTTGTGCATTAATTGAGGTCCATGTCTCTACCGCTGATGATCCCAGACAAGCCCCCAAACGTAACAAATTTCTACTTTTAAAACTAAAAGTGAACACAATTATTCTTCCCAGGAAGGCCAATCGCTGATTTTGCTAGCATCTTTAACAGGTGACTTGCTTGATGTATGTACAACTTTTATCATTAGGCATGAATGTTGAATGAAAGTTCCAATATGATACGTTGATACACTACACCCATTAATTTTCCGTGCCTACTCCTGAGAAGTTAGTTTCCTTATTTTTTGGTTGCTCCTTGGTGAATACATAAGTAAGACTAACACCCTAGCATTAGATTCTTAAGCAATGGGATTCATTAATATTGAACAGCACTTTAAACTTCGTACAGTAACATGAATCAGTGTTGTTATGTGGAGCCAATTATCACCACTTTGAACAAGTTATAATCCTCCTCCTGTCGAAATAGCTAAAAGGAGTGCAAACTGCCGCGTATACTCAGCCCCTCATTAAGGCTAATGTCCAAAAGTTTTTGATATTCAAGGGTGTAAAAAATTAGAAGTTGTGCATTTGGTTCTTCGACACTATACTGTGCTGTTTTCTATGCTGCTGGAGAGGTGCACTTACAGAACTAGGGCTGGAGTGGCGGCGCAATTTGGGGGACTCTTTGCCAGCAGTTGAGCTCTTGGCGTTGATGCAGGCATTGTTCTCAGAGTGGACCCTTTTCACCTGACTGGCGGGCTTCTCAAACGGGTCGAAGCCACTCTGCGTGCGCTGAACTCTCACTTTCTTGTCTTCAGGGATGGTGTCCAGGGGCTTGATGACAGAGTCTGTTCCCTGGCAGCTGCGTGTGGACATCTTTGTGACACATATCTGTCAAAAGAGGGGAAGGGGAAGGAGAAGAGAAGTGAAGTGAAGAAAGGAGGGTGAAGATAAATGTGAGCATTAAGAGGGAAAAAAATAGTCCATCTGCGATTACCAGTGTTCAGCCAAAAAACTGACTGTCATCCAGATCCTGCCTGTTTTTCATCTTTCTGTCAGCCTGGGTCTCTTCCCTCCCTGTAGAGCCTCACTGCTACCTCTTTGCTAGGATGAGAGCCTTTTTATCTCCATCTCTCTTTTCTCTGATCAAAACAGCTCCAGCCTCCGTCAGCTCTGCTGCACATGCACTCGCTGCCGGCTGCTGCCGCTGTCCCTAGACTGCACATACACACAGTCCCACCTTATCTCTGACACACATCTACGCGTTCAGACAATTGTGCAGACATGCTACAGAATGTCTCCAACACGCCCACCGGGCACAGCCCCCAGTACTCACCAACTATTTACAACAAAAAGTGCCTTAGCAGCTGCTCTGCCACCACGGACTGTGTGTACGAGACACAAAAGACCCAGGCAGCATGACATGTTTTGCCACGGTTCCATTCAAGATTAAATATTTAGGTCTGAACTCCCCAGCAGGAAGAAGTTCTAATTACTCTAAAACACAAGGAGGAGTCGTCTTGCAGCTCACTGGTTTGCTCTTTACACGGGCCAGGTTTCATTGGACACAATGCAGCTTTTTTCACAGCGCAAGCCCCCTTCCCTGTCACGCTAATGTGATAAGATGTTATAAAAGAATAATATAAAAGCAGCAGCTATTGATCGGGAGGTTAGGTTACCACAGATTACTGAAAACCAGATCCAGGGTGCATTATACAGCACTGTTCAAAAGTCTTGAGCTATCCCTCGAAGAGAGACATGGACTGGTGTTCCACTCATTTTCAGCCCAGTCATGGTATCTGACTATTTTCAGAATATTTAAGCCACTTAACACTAATCTATAAGAAAAACTTGAAATGCAGTACAGTATGTCTTTAAGAAATTGGGGAAAACTGGACAAATAGAGGACAAAAGGAAACATATCCTAATGTAAACATATTTTCAAAGCCATGTCCTTACAAAATAGGAAGAAATGAATCTGGCCCTTACTGGCACCTACTGTTTGCTGAAACCTCATCACAAATGTCTTGGTGGAAGGGCGACTGTCAAGAAGCCGTTCTTAAGGAAGGTAAACAAAGGTTGATGTACGCAAAATTACACAAGAAGTAGATTGAAAAATCAATGGGAAAAGGGCTTTGGAGTGATTAATCCAAACTTTAAAGACATTTTGGGCTCAAAGTAATGTCAGTACGAAGGTGTTGAGAAGAGAAGCTTGGCAGTGAGCGTCTACAGCCATGGTAGAAGCTCTGTTATGGTTGGAGCTGCAGTTGGAGATCTTGTCAAAACTGATGGAATTATAAACACTCAAAAGTACTGACAGAGTTTGATCCACCACATAATACCATCTAGAGAGCATCTGATTGACATTTGCTTTATTTTTCCTCATGACAATGATCCCAAGTACACTGCAGTAAAATCATATCTGGATAGAAAAGCACATAATGGAACACTATCAGTCTTGGATTGGTCTGGGATCATTGCGAGAGACAACGGAACAAAAGGCAGCCAGCATCCAAAGAAGACCTTTTAAGGTCCTTCAAGAAGTCTGGAGAACTATTTCTGAAGACTTTTCCTTTTCTATCAGCAAAATGTGGAGAAATGATGGATTGCTGAAGAATTTTGCTCAGTGCAAAGGGTGAAACAGTTATTCCTGTTTTTAAGATATCATATTGTATAAACGAAACTACAGGTCTGTAATGATGATGATGTACAATCAGAGGACAAATTAAAGTGAAGAGCAAAATGTTTACCCCACGCAGCGAAGACAGTGGGAGGGTCTTGGAATATTGCAATGGTAGGTCTGCATGTCCCCTTAAAGCATCAGTTAATACAGGTGGCTCAT